GAACGCTTACGCGCTTTAAGCGCTTATAAATATCGCTCACGTCGTTTACTTTGGCGCTATAAGCGCTTAGAAACTGCATATTGACGTCATGCGGGACGTCATAACTCGCGCTTACATTCACTTCTTCTATCGAAGTAGGGTAGTAAAAGCGTGAGCACTTATAAGCGCTTATTTTCCAAAGAGAACGATAAGTTAGATTGCGTCGATGAAATCGACTTAATGAAGGAAACGGACTTTCTTACAAATTTACCTAAATCTTCATATTTTGTTGTATAAAATATGAATATAAAAGTTAAAATCGTTGATCTTAAATAAAACAAAAGTTATAAAGTGAAAAGTTATTAAAATGTGACTTAAATACTTCATCATTGTATAATGGTACAATCACTTCCACATAGTTTTTTAATCAAGGTATTGTTTTTTTTTATTAATTCAATCATTACGGATAAATACTTTTCTAATTCTTCTTTATATAAGTTATTTGTTTCGTTATCATCAAAAACATCTAATGAAACTATTTGAGCAAACACACAAACAATTTCCTTATCTTTATCCTCCATTTTTACGTTCATAATTGCTTACAACAGCCAAAGGAAACGGTTTTGATCTTTTCGATAAGTACGCTTAGAAATCAAAGTAACCGGGCAAAAATAGCGCTCATAAGCGTGAGCGCTTTAAATATGTGAGCGTCCAAAACGAACGCACCCAGAGTGTCATAGACACGTTGGCATTCGGGTTTAGGTCTTCGCAGCCCTTTAGAGTGCGCTTGCACTTTGGGCTATCGCCTCTAGAGTGTCCAAGGACACGTTGGCGTTTGTGTCACGAAGTGTATGGTAACTCCACGGATCTCCACCTTCTCAATACGATCGAGGATTGAGAGAAGGCTTCGCGCGACTACTTCGGATTACCTTGACGCTTCCACCGCGGTGGACGTCTCTGTTCGCGATTTCTCCCGTATTGCATATACCGAGTACCAGCGCCGACAGAACTTATTACGGTCGAGCTCACGACTCCGCGCGAGTCGTCGTACTCAGGAACTCCGCTGCCAGGGACGCAGCATATACACGCGAGCCACGCTCGCCTTCACGTCCGCTCAGGACTTAGCTGCTACCAGGGACGCAGCATATACGCGCGAGCCACGCTCGCCTTCACGTCCACTTAGGACTTAGCTGCTGACAGGGACGCAGCATATACACGCGAGCCAAGCTCGCCTTCACGTCCGCACAGGACTTAGCCGCTGCCAGGGACGCAGCATATACACGCGACATAAGCTCGCCTTCCCTCAGTCGCTGCCTGGGCCGCAGCACTTACGCGAACCACGTTCGCTTCTTCACCAACACTGAAGCTATACTCGCCGCATACGCGACTCCACGCGCGAGTTACACTCGCGTCTAAGTCCCCGCGAGACTTAATCTATGTCGCCCGTGCGACGTTACGATTCTCATTAATATTGATCCTCCGACAAGGGGGACTTCTCCTAGCGCGGAGGCGCTGGGAAGCGATGCATCCCCGCAGGGCCGCCGCTTCGATTGATCTAGCTCGCTTTATTCGAGTCGGCGACCCACCACACATGGAGATGAAGACTCTCGTCTCCGAAGAACCTCGCGAATCGCTTGCACCCCACATCACCTCACGGGACCGCTGGATAGCGAACTGCTAGCGACGAAGCCCGCGGTCTCCACAAGGCGAGCGGACACCTATTCGCATCTCGCACAACGAACCGGCCGCTCATCACCCTCGGGCCATTCGAAACAGACATACGTGCCTGTATATATTTATATACATATGTCGAACAGTTTAGAATTATATATTCCTTTGTGTTCTTTAATATTTTTTTTTTGTAGAACCCTTTATGTGTTTTTATGTAATTGTATAGTTTCCATCATCGATTGTCTCACGTCATGATAATCATGAAAATTTATCTGTGGATATATACATATATTTATATATACTACTGTGTCCAAAAAGTAAGACCAGTTTTTATTTATTTCAAAAAATATTTATTTATTCTTCCAAATCTATTTCGTCCCCTTCAAAGTAATCCCCTCCCGACACAATACACTTATGCCAACGTATTTTCCAGTCCTCGAAACAAGAATTAAAGTCGCTTTCCGGGATGGCTTTCAGAGCGCGTAGCAATTCACGTTGTATCTCTTCTATCGTTTCAAAACGATTTTCCCGCAGTGGTCTTTTGAGTTTCGGGAATAGCCAGAAGTCACACGGTGCTAAATCAGGCGAATATGGTGGTTGTGGAACTATATGGATCGAATTTTTGGCGAAAAAGTCACGAAGAACGAGTGCAGTGTGAGAAGGTGCATTATCGTGATGCAAAAACCAAGAATTGTCTGCCCACAATTCTGGCCTTTTCTTGCGAATAGCTTCACGCAAATGACGCATAACACTCAAATAATACTCTTTGTTGAT